CGTTTGCCCTTTGATGTTTCTCATATGCAACAGAAATTGAAGCGCTTATGAGTTGGACAGCGCGGTGGTCGCGCCAGTGCGACCGCTCACAAAAATTAGTCGCACGGGCAGAAAAAATGGTTGCAAAATGCGACTATTTGGTCGCACTCTGGAACCCTGTATATATATATATATATATATATATATTGTCAATTTTTAAAAATACTTATATTTAATAAATCATTCTTTAATATTTAATAATTATTTCTTATTACTTGGTTCATTCAATAAAAACAATTATTCAAATGTTTTTACGTCCATTATGAAATAATCATTTGATATATATATAATGATGTCTTATTACTTCACTTATTACTTGTGTATGAAAGTTTTTATTTAAAACGTTTTTATTATTTTCATTTACAATTATAAATGTTTTCAGAACATTCATGAAGTATGTTTGGGTGCAAACTGACAAGAAGACAGTGTTGAGAAAGTTTAGAAAGCCAGAGACAGTTACCGAGGTGAACAGTTTTGCACACTCATAACGACGCTGAGTATCGCCACGCCTCTCATTAGCACAACCGGTGTAACGTAATTAGCATTGTCACACCGTCTCCCACATTCAAACGGATCTGCATCCCATTTATCGCTAAGTGTTATGAGGAGGAGGTGAGCTGATGAAGAACTGAAGAAACCAACCACACTGAAGGCTAAAGAGTTGCATCTTATCTAGTATCCATAGCAACAGAGCCATTGAATTCATTAGGATTGCCACGCTGCGCTTAATTACGAGCAATGGGATAGAGTACGGTGGCCCCCAAAGTCCAAATGACCTGCACCATGAAGGCAGGTCGGAAAATTGCTTTGGGTGGGGAGCAGATATCAAACTAATTACTCTCGCCCCATCCCCCAGATGTGCGAACATTAGCGCAACGCTAACTACGCTAGTTCGCCACATGTAGTGAATAGATGAGCCCCATATATGTTTCCAGAATCGACGGCTGTCAGAATCGTACAGAGTCAAAGTTGAAAACCTTGACCACAAATGTGCCGCAGTGGACGCATTTATGGATGCAGTGTATGAGTGGAGGAAAGAGAAAGAAAGCAAGTGAGAGAGCTTTAATTCTTGGTTTCTAAGCAACTAGAGAGACTGCTTGGCACCTTGCGGAAAACACTCTGAAACCTCTATTGTGTGCAAGTTACTACACACAATATCTCTATGGCTGGAGATGGTTTGTTTGGAGTGGGAATAGTTGACTGTTTTGTGATTTTTTGACTGCGAGATTGCAGCAGTATTTTAAAGACGTGATATAAGTAGATAGAATAGAAAAAATAGAAAGCTAGTGTTTTTTTTATAAAGAAGGAAGATAAATATAGATAAAGTAGAATTAAAATAGAATATAAAGTGTTAGAGTTAGAGGGATCAGAGATCTGCTGTACTGTGTATAAAACATACAAAAGAAATGCATTGGATCACACATATAATATATATGATATTATAATGATAATATATACTTGTGCAATGGTTTAATAGTCCGGTTTAATAGACCGTCCTAATTGCTAGTTTCATAACTAACTGACAGTACATGGTTTGATATCAATAATACCTCTGATCATTCAACTTCAAAATTCCATTACATTAAAGGTCGTGAGCCATATCTAGAGACCGGAATGCACTAGCAACCACATAGCAACACAATTTAAATGACTCTAAACACCAATGCAACATCATGGCAATCGCTCATATCACCTTTGCAATGTGGTGGTGAGTATTGCATGGGCAAGTTTTGTTATTGTTTTCAAGTAAATATGCCAAACTATTTTTTTTTAAAGCAGTTGAAGTGTTATATACTATTATTATATG